GGGGGGGGGGGGGGGGGGGGGGGACTCCAGCGTGGTGTAAGACCCTTCTTAGTACCGCCCCGAATTGGTACTGTGTTAATGGCGCCCCATTTGCGTGGCAGAAGAGGGGGCCCTTGGCAGCTGGTCTGCGTACAAGATATTTCCCCATAGCCTGAACTGGGCACATGTTTTCGATACCATTGCCGTGTATCCGCAGCATGACTGCGGACCCGTATTGATCGTTTATTATTGAAACCCCATTATAGTATTCAAGGAATGATTGCCACATTGTCAAATCCCGGATAGCGCCTTCGCTTAGGGTGATTGGTTGGCCTGTTTCTGAGTTGCTTTTTGTCATGTCCGTGAGTCGGCGTAGAAATGCCCTACCTGGTTTTACTGCCCTACATAGAAAATTTAAGAGTCCTACCATGGACTGTATCTCCTTGCGGCAAAACAACCGTCTCGCGAGCGCCTTACGTATTTTTTTTGCTGTGTCTCTACTAGTTTGTCCTTAGGAATTCGTACTTGCATTAGCTGTGAGTCGATTACTAGGCCCAGAAATGTGAGTTTTATTGTTGGTCCTTCACCTTTCTCGACTGCAAGGGGGACTCCCAGAAACCGGCACACTGCTTTGAACTCCCGAACCAGTGAAAGGCATGTTTTATCTGCCGCTTGCGGTGCTCCGACGCAAAGGAAATCATCCATGTAATGAATTATTCTGTCGGTCTTTAGGTTTGAACGCATGCAGTACTCTATAAACGATGAGAACGCCTCAAAGTACGCCGGTGCGCATCTAACCCCCATAGGCATACATTTATCAATGTAGTATTCTCCTTGGAACTTGATCCCTAGAAGTTCAAGTCCCGAACGCAGATCGGGAGTAATCTAAAAGCAGACTTTATGTCTGCTTGCCATCTCCGCCCCTACCCCCGCGTTTTAGCCACCAGGTCTGTGGCTTTGTCAAATGTGTATATTCAACTCGGCTTACCGAATCTGGAATAAATTCGTTTATTGAGAAACCTGGTGGGTAGGACAGGTGATTTATTTGTCTGTATTCCCCGGGAACTTTCTTTGGTACGAGTCCTAGCGGGTTTGACCGTAACCTCGTAAGGGGCCGTGCGAGAAATGGACCGGCATAGCGACCTAACCGGACTTCTTTTGTTACTTTTTCTAGTGCGATTTTTTCATTGATTTCAACCGACTTCAGGTTAGGTAAGTCTACTGGCATGCGGGGTCCCGCGTATTCGAGACTGAAACCCTTAGTGAATCCTGTTTTCAATAATTGCGCTGCTTCTTTATCGGGGTAACTTTCAAGCATGCTTTTTAGGTTAGGAACTATTATCGGGGTCGGAGCTAAAGTTGACAGAGATATTGTATTTCGTGGGCAGTCAACGACATCTAACAATTTACTGTTTCGTTTTTGGGACGCGGCTACCTGTAGTGGAGTGAAGTTTTGGACATGTGACTTTCCCATGGCCAGTTGCTCCACATGCAATGCATTTGTGGATGAAGCGGCAGTTGGGCCTGGTACATTTCCCGGTGCCAAAGTTGGCTTCATAGCAGATACCGGCACCGGGCTGGTTTCCGCCTGGCTGCCTAGTACTACTTCCACGAAAGGAACCCGTGCGTGGTTTAGCGGATTGAAACGGCCCGTCCGGGCGTTGTCTTCCCTGGAATGTTTGCTGCGTTGAGCTAGTGCCCGTAGATCGCAATGGCCCGCCCCCAACTACATGCATTAACCATAGTTCCCCATCTACATGCTTCGATCTGAATTCAATATCGTACTCTCGCCACCCATATCCGGAGTATCGCGTCGCCGCTGAGCGAATAGTATGTGGCAGTACTTCAATACTTCTTGTGCGCACCCTGGGTTAGTTTGCAGGTAGATAGTTGCATACACGAGAAACGCTTCGGTCCATACTTCTATGGAGTAAATCTTATTTTTCGTCGGTGTGGCGGATTTAAGCTTTAATTGTTGGCCAACTTGGACTAGTGTAAGCTCGTCTAACGCGGGGCTGGGCGCTGTTACCCCTGGGTTTTTTACTAGTGTACTGAGGTTTACATATTCCCCCTTCCCTATTTTTTCCTTGATGCTTTGTGATACCGGTGCCCCAAGTATTTCACCTTGGGGTGATAGGGGAGAGGTCCCCAGCGCAGCCGCCGCTTGAGACTTTAGGGGCTCGATCACGGCAGGTATTGCGCTTAGTAGGGCGGTTGGACTCGGAACGAGGGAGGGAAAGGATGCGGCTGGAGAACCAATTTGGGCTGAGGTAGTTTTATGTATGGGGTTTACTGAAGTCGTTTGGAGCTCACCCGGTCTCTGTGTCGTGGCCACTCCTGTTGCCTGCATGTACTGCACCTCCTGTTGCTGAGCTGCTTGTGGAGCCGATGAGTATACGACCCCCGGTGCAGTAAGACCTCCAGGCTGTATTTGTAGTGGCTGCTGAAGGGTTGGTGCCTGCTGCTGGCACTACTGTCCACCGATGGCGCTTGGCTGGCTTGGTGGCTGTGATCCGTCAGCCAATAGCTGATGAGTTGAGGGTGCTGGAGCGTCAGTCGGTGTGCTCGTGCCTGGGCCAGTTGCCTGTGTGGCCGGTGTCGCTGTCTTATTTCGAGGTCGACCTCTTTTCGCTTTCGGTGCTTCTTTCGGTTTGGCTGCTTTTCGTTTCCCCATCTCTCCCGTTGACGATGCTGGTATCACCGCAATTTGACTTGCCCGGCCCCCGTCAATTCAGTCTCCCATAGGCCGCTGAACGAATTCAAGCAATATTCCTCTTCAGAGCAACTACAGCCTTTATTGCAGCGAATATTTTGCAGAGCGATATCGAGAGCGTACGAACAGGGAGAAACTTCTTGGAACAAGTGGCCGATTGTTTACTAGTGGTTGTTCACCCGCTTGCCACGTGGCAATTGTGGGCTAGCCAGCGCACGTTCCCACGCTGAGCGCCGGAGATCATAAAGAGCGCGCGTTCCAAAATTGCTACATTTCCAGACCAAGGGCGGATCCAGGGGGGGGGGGGGCCAAAGGGGGCCATGGCCCCCCCAAAAACGAAAATATTTTTTTTTATTTTTTATGTGACATCGCAATAAAGGCAGGCAATGAGTACACCACCATCTTTTCCTCAAAAAACATTGGCTAAAGTGGTCAGAAATTGCCTCAGATCGCACCACAGAGCATCTAGAATCCAAATTTTTTTTCGGGGCCCTTAAGCGGGCCCCGAACCCCACGCCGTAATTTTTTTGACCCACTTTTTTGGGCGACCACATTGATACAATTTTGGTTCGATTGTTTTGGTTTTATCGTGGCTTGTACAAATAGGTTTATGCCTTTACTTGCACAAACATCTTTTGCACCAATCAGTTGTGGAGTTCCTCAAGGTTCAATACTTGGCCCTATACTTTTTCTGATTTACATAAATGACATTTGTAACTCTTCCAAAATACTCTCTTCATTTTATTTGCAAACGACACTAATTGTTTTTTTTATAGCAGTAATGACTTACTTAAGGCAGTTGACACTGTTAATCGACAACTATGCAAAACCTCCGATTGGTTTAAATGTAATAAACTGTCCGTTAATTAAAAAAAACCCACAATGTATGTTGTTCTCCAATGGTAAAGTCGACAGGAATATCAGTGTTTACTTAAATGACACACAAATAGAACAAGTTAAAACATGTAATTTTCTAGGTGTAATTATTGATAGTAAACTTTCTTGGAAGCAACATTGCCAAAAAGTACTAATGTCACTTTCTCGGAACCAGGGTATCTTAAGAAAATTAAAACACCAATTACCTTCAGATATCTTATTTTCAATTTATAATACGTTGTCCCTGCCTCACCTTCAATATGGTATTTTAGCATGGGGTAACACCTACCCAACCTTTATCAATAAATTGTATATTATGCAAAAGAAAATACTTAGGATAATTAATAACTCCAGATATACAGAACATTCAGCACCACTGTTTAGTAAATACAAAACCTTATCTATTTTTGACTTGTATAAATACCATCTTGGGGTATTAATGTATAAATTCGAAACAAACAAATTACCCAAAACTATACATTCGCTATTTAACAAAAACTCGGATATCCATTCTCATAATACAAGGTCAGCCTCAAACTTTCATCTCCATAAAGATAGAACATCTCTTTACTTATCGACTGTCGGAAACCAAAGACCTCTATTGTGGAACCACCTCAAACCAATGCCTATCTTTAGATCAATGAAGAACTTCAAAAACTACATGAAAACGTTGCTACTTACAAATTATACTGATAATTAAGTATCCCAATAAATCGTATATTCATGTCATCAAACAGATTGTTGAAAAATATGGTATTGTTTTATAATTCCTTGGCCACTTTTTGCTTCTTCGCCCCTTCCTCCCTAACCTGTTTTGTAATTATTTAATTGATTTATTTCTTGTAATGTATGGACGTAAGAAAGTACTGTGTAGGCCTATGTATATTCATGCGAATGTGAATATTTTTGCTGTTCATTATATTTCTTTTCAATTTTTATTAGTATAAGTGTATTTACCTGATAGAATTCAGCCTATTGTATGTACATATTAATTTACTAGCTTAATTTGTAATTACGGATTCCAGGTCTTGTACAAGCATATGCTTACCGGGATCCCTCATATCATTGTTTGTCATTCTTTATACAGTTTCCTGTTTATTATGTTGTTTGTGCTATGATATGAAAAAAATAAACCGTAGGCCTAACCATAACCATAACCATATGGAATAATTTTTAGAACGACTTCTCTAACCTCATTACAAATCCGGTTGAATACTGTGCCCCAGTCTGGTGTGCAAGCTCGCATATGCCGAAGTTGGACAAGGAACTTGAACGACTCCATGAGACTAGGCAGTGGGGCAGATAAATCGACCGTAAAGTCCGAAAATTTGGGACTCTATATCTCAATACTGTGTATGGGAGCCCCAAAACTTAAGGTATTGAAAATATGCAACACAAGAAAATAGACTGCACCTGAAACAACCAGTCCAAACAACCCATCGGTACTGTATCATTCAACTGTGCCATCTGTCCCTTTAAATAAAATTGAACTCTGTTCACATGCTACAGTGAATATTCTAAATAGACATGGAATATTTTAAGTTAATATACTGCCTGGGAGTATGTTCAGATAACACCACCCATGATCACAAATCCTCGCGACTTTCCAGTAGCTACATCAACATCTTGCATTGCATGAAACAAGTCCTCAGTCTTTAACCACAATTTGGGCTTGCCAACATTAGTATCAAGCATCAGAAAGCGGTCAGTGGCTTTGTGATATGCACAAAGGGGACTGTGATGTCCATACTTTGAAGCCTTCCCGATTTGTCCCAAAAGGTATCGCTGGAAGTTCAGAATAACTCCAGCGCTGGAATCTTCATGGCGCAGGGCTTCCACGGCTAGACAGCGGAATTCATCCACGGAGGACTCCTGACCAAAGTACATCGTAGCTTGGTGTTTGTGGCTGACGAGTAACTGGCCTACATCCACCAACGTGGTGCCTGTTTTCTGGATGACATCATGGGTAATGATCTCCTCGGTCTCCTTGAAGGCGAACATAGCAAATCCGTGGTACTGCTCCTTAATGTCCTCACAGTGTCTGAAGTTGCAGTGGCCTGCTTCACGACACGCTTTTCCACATGCAAAAGATGCAAGTAGGAGCGCTGCACTCTGTATGCCACAGTGCGAATAGTGCTGCTGGAAGTCAAACATGTCCATTAAGATGTCTTGACGAGCTTCAGCTTCATCCAGAAGACGCTTGCCTTCCTCAGATTCCAAAGGAATCGGGTCGCTTACTTTAATGGTTTCCTCCATATCTGTCTCAGATCCTGATGGAGTCAAGAAAACCAAAAGTCAAGTTTGGTAGGCCTATACATGCGTATATCAACATGGTTTAACATTCAGCTAGATGATATTTTTGTAGCCTATACTGGTTGTTACTGTGCCCACCCCTAGTAGTTTCTTGTCTTGCATGCGCTAGAACAGGAGTAGGACCCGTAAACGTGGCGTAAACATTTACACCGTTTCTAACAGGGGCCCAGTCTCTCAGTAACTGGGACGCTAGAGAACTCCATTTCTTTTCGAATTTTGATTTTTGGTCGGTTGGTCTAACCGTCTAACAGTACAACAGAGGCCCAACTATTCGCAGTTCGTATGTCCACTGCAAATTATCCCGAGAAAGAGCCATAGGGGCTATGCCAGTGATACTGCGAAGAACTTGGACAAAAAGAGCTTAAATCTCAGATACACTTTTTGCTTCAACATGTAGGCCTACGATCAAATACATCAGAAATGACCTACCTGATAAAAAATATATAGTCCTATAGTGGTTCTAGTGGCAGAGAGAAAAATAGATCAACAATTCGCAGTTGGAACTATTGTGGGCATTATAGTATCAGCTAGGCTTACAATGTACATGTACATACGAAATTCTTTCTACATGAACACGCAATTTCGATATGATCATGTACGTCATGCATGATACAGCATTTTTATCAGAGTTCAATGTTGCCAGACTTTGACCTACTCGACCTAAAAGATGACAACAAACGTGACTAAAACTCAAACGCATGCTGGCGTGATAGCAACCATTTTTATGATGACGACCTGTTAACGATGTGTGTTGATGGCTCCGCTATAGATAAGGTGAGACCGTCTAGTGTGGTGTCCTGTGTAATCTCTAAAAACAAAATGGTTATGATAACCAATATCATCAGGTTTTTACACAAAACGTATTGGTCAATAATGTGTCCAACTGACTTTTTGGTCAAAATGATTAACGGACCTTTGATTAGCTTTTAACCGGTTTTTTTTTATTGATAACAAATCCAACCAACTTTTAGGTTATGACAGCACGTTTCTAGATGAAACCGTATACAAATACAAAATGGCAACATACGACCAATAGCGGTGGGTCGATCGCAACCAAAGATTTTGTTTTCATCGTAAAGCTAACCTATTCTGATTGGTTGCTGGAATAACATATTTCCCTGGTAAACGTTAACCAATTAGTGGTTGGTTCTATCCCCCGCCCCCCTTTGGATAAATAAATGTAACCATTGCGACTGCCCTATAACCAAGCAGTTGTTTGTCCTTGTCGAAGCGAAAAACAAGAAGACGCGAATGGACTATGAAAACCCATGTACCGGGTGAGTAAATAAAAAGAAACCCAATGTCGGGACTATTGTTTTAGTAAAGTTCTGCATGTACGGTAGCACTTTCAAGATCTAGGATATGCAAGCCCAATTCATAAGCTTTCTTTTAGTACAAGTTTCATTCAAATCACTCATGTACTTTTCAAGTTACGGAATTTTAAACACGTTGTTTCAAAGTTCTGTCCACGGATCACAAGAATGTAAGTGTTCTTTCAGCAAAACGAAAACAAATCACAAAGGATGTGTGAATTGTTTTCGTTTTGGTGAAAAAAACACACACCTTTTTGTGATCAGAACTTTAAAACAGTGGTTGTGTTTCAAATTCCGTAACTTGATAAGGTGTCTTGTCTGAGGAGCCTTCTTGTGATCCCAAAGAGCTGGGAATGCTTCAAGGATAAGGTGTACTAGACTGTATGCAGATCCACACTCTCTTAGAACCCAAAAAGGTCCGCTTTGCTACAGTGTTATCCTGCGAGGCCGACGAAATTAGCTAGTCTAGCTGCGTTAGGTCTTAAAGACTTGGTAAGGTCATCAAGTGACACTAGTTACTCTGGATCTTCTTCAGAGGCAAGAGGCAAATGCCTCTGAAAAGATCTTAAGATCGGAACGTGGGTCACGTTAGGGTCATCTAAAAGTAAATAGCTGTCGTGTTTTTGGAAAAAAAAAAAAAAAAGAACATTTTTCTCTGGGTGAATTCAACAAAAGAACAGGCAGGACGTCATTAACACAAGTGAATTCTAATGGTGCTTTTTAAAACTCTTAAATTGTCTTTCTTCAAATTTATTCACTTTTTTGCGCAGCAATACTTGTTCCAAAGAAGTAATCGATATGTAATATTTAGAACATACATTACACAGACCGTTATCTAGGTTTTTTTTCTAAATTGATATCTTGATACACCATTACGTTACATTCATAAATACCTAAGCCAGTTTACCAATTCAAATGAATTGAGAGCCTGTCACGTGGGTGGATTTAAACCGCTGATAAAACACTGCTGCGTTTTGCGCCACATCGCGCAGTACGTGCCGTGCGCAAGGTGTATACCACAGACATGGTGAGAAGGGTGTTTCACAAAACATGAAGTAATACTGTTGAAGAACATTGCTGGAAATGCTTTAATTTTGACTTTTGACCGAAAAGTTATTTTATGCAAGGGAACAAATATGTGCTTGGCCGGTATTGAACAAGTACGTTTAAAACAAGGACACAGATAATGACCCTCGCCTTTGGCTCGAGCTATTAAGCCCGGTTCATACTTCATGCGAACGCGAAAGCGAATTTAACGTCATGAAACATTCGCTGCTAAATTCGCAAAAATGTGTTCAACTTTTACAAATTCGCATCACGAATAATCTCCATGATGTCACAAATTCGCGTTCGCTTTTGCTCCGAGTATGAATCGGGCTTTACCCACGTCCAGGCCTCTTGCAAGTTTTGAACATACTTGTTTAAAACCGGCGCAGCACATATTCATTCCCTTATTATGACAATGGTACAGATGGTTACATCATTAGGGAAACGGCCAAGGTACATGTAGATGACCATCAATGGTTTTGAGTTGTATGATTTAGTCATGTTAGTGCACAACTAAAGTAGATTGGCTTACAAAGTTAACTGGAACAAAGATTGGCTGACAAAATTAAATGGTACTTTTGGGAGACATTTTGCAGTAAAATATTTAATATTTAGGGAGACACTGGTCATGGCAATGGTCCTTTTAAAATAGAATTGAACCCTGTACACAAGCTAAAAAGACATGGGATACTGCAAGTTAATATACTGCCTGTGAGTATGTTCAGATAACACCACCCATGATCACAAATCCTCGCGACTTTCCAGTAGCTACATCAACATCTTGCATTGCATGAAACAAGTCCTCAGTCTTTAACCACAATTTAGGCTTGCCAACATTAGTATCGAGCATTAGAAAGCGGTCAGTGGCTTTGTGATATGCACAAAGGGGACTGTGATGTCCATACTGGGACGCCTTCCCGATTTGTCCCAAAAGGTATCGCTGGAAGTTTAGAATAACTCCAGCGCTGGAATCTTCTTGACGCAGGGCTTCCACGGCTAGACAGCGGAATTCATCCACGGAGGACTCTTGACCGAAGTACACAGTAGCTTGGTGTTTGTGGCTGACAAGTAACTGGCCTACATCCACCAACGTGGTGCCTGTTTTCTGGATGACATCATGGGTAATGATCTCCTCGGTCTCCTTGAAGGCGAACATAGCAAATCCGTGGTACTGCTCCTTAATGTCCTTACAGTGTCTGAAGTTGCAGTGGCCTGCTTCACGACACGCTTTTCCACATTCAAAGGATGCAAGTAGGAGCGCTGCACTCTGTATGCCACAATGCGATAAGTGCTGCTGGAAGTCAAACATGTCCATTAAGATGTCTTGACGAGCTTCAGCTTCATCCAGAAGCCGCTGGCCTTCCTCAGATTCCAAAGGAATCGGGTCGCTTACTTTAATGGTTCCCTCCATATCCGCCTTGGAACCTGATATTGAGTCAAGAAAAACAAATTTCACGTTCAGTATACATTGTATTGATTATGTATAATATAATATTAACATGGTGTTAGGAAAAATGTTGGCACCCTACCAAAGTAGCATTGTTTCTTTACCCAGCCCTAGTATTTTCTTGTCATAAAGATTGCATTATCCCCACTAGTGTGGCAACGATATCACTGTGCTGTACCAAGACTGGGACCTGGACTACTCTAAAATGTGCAAAACTAAAATCAGGCCAACTTTACTCATTTTTAGCCAGCAAATTTCTCCAAAAATTCAATTTATGACAATTGGGCAAAGAAAAGGTCCTCAGTATTTCACCAACCAAGTTTTGCAGACTCAATTCAATTTTTAAAGTAGACTGTTCTTCAATATTTTGCACATGAGAGAGAAGTCAAGTGATTTCAAAATGAGGCCAAAGACTAGACTGGTATACATGTATGTCCAACCATGGTCCAACTATTTAAAAAGACTTATTTCATATTTCAGGGTCATTAGTCTGGTGGCTGACTATGGAGAAATGTGCAGTAAAAAGAGACTAGTTTCCGGTTCATATATCTGCTACATGTTTCTTTTTGCACAGTTGATTGATGCAGTACTAAAGCGGTGTTGGACTGGTTGTTTCAGGTGCTAGTCTATTTTGTTGCATTGCATGTTTTCAACATTTGGGACTCTCATACACAGTTTTGAGAGTCCCAAATTTTTGGAGTACGCTGGACCTTCTGCTGCACAGCCGCTACTCCAACGGTCTGAAGAAATTGTTAACCTACTCGTGCACAGAACTTTACGTACGGTTGTATTCTATGATGTCACAACTTTTGGGCTCCAGGTTTCATTGGTAATCTTACCTCAAATTTTTTGGAGAAATTTAGGCATCTTTCTAGAGTCTGTATGCACACACACAAATTAATGTCCGTTGATGGCAGCCATTTTGAAAGTCAGAAGCGTTGACCCTAAAGCTGTGATGTCATCAGAGTTGTAACGAGTCACTAATTGTTGTGACTCGAGTCGAGTCATTATAAAGAAGTGACTCGAGTCAAGTCGAGTCATTTTAAAGAAGTGACTCTTGTCGAGTCAAGTCGAGTCATTAGGTCAAGAAGGTTGAGTCGAGTAGAATCGAGTCATGAATATTTGAACACTATTTACCAAAATTTATAAAACTGAGAAGGGCATACATTTTATTAGACGGCGTACGAATCTAAGAGCTTTATAAGAAATCAACCAAAGCCAAAGATGAAACAACGAATTGGCATTTATGTGTTTAAATCTTGTTCCTGGATAGTATTTTGTATGTTCTAGAACCATGAGGTGGGAGTCTGTGACCAATGTTGTAGGTTTGTAAATGAACATAAAATTTGCATCGTAAGTCATTGCAAATACTTTTCGCAAAATTTTGCTTTTATTTTTGGGACTCGAGTCTTATTAACCTTTCCTCGAGTCGAGTCGAGTCTTTTGATAAGGGACTCGAGTCAAGTCCAGTCATTTGCTCGCAGTGGCTCGAGTTGAGTCGAGTCATTTACCCATAGGGAATCGAGTCAAGTCACCAAAAATTATGACTTGAGTCGGACTCGAGTTGAGTCACTGTCTTGAGTCATTACAATTCTGGACGTCGTGTTATGCAATCAATCTTGTTGCTCCAGCTGTGCGAGTTGCGGGATGCGATGGCTGTTTAATGTACATGTACAACAGATTCACCCAGACAGTATGGGCCATTTGCACAATACATTGTTCTATCAGTTGAGAAGTTGTACATGAAACAGCCATCCATCGCCACTCGCACACCCGGAGCAACAAGATTGATTTGCCTTAACACGGCGTCCCAGCTTTGGAGTCATCGCTTCTGACATTCAAAATTGTCCATGGCAGCCATTTTGCTTCCACTATTAAGGACATTTCCTGAAATGTTATCATCTTCAGGAAATTTCATGAAATCTCTGGAAAAAAACATATGCCAATCTGACTATGGACATTCCATTTTGGAGAGTGGAAGCACCACCGCAGAAAGGTTGTAAGTGATGATCGAAGAGCTCACACAAATAAAGTTCAATCCCCAGAAAACAATAGTTGATTACATCAGAAATGACCTACCTGGCAAAAACTAAAGTCTGGTGAGGTATAGTGGCAAAGACTCAAGAGAGAGATAAATTCAAAATTCGCAGTTAGAACGATTGTTGGCAAATGTAATACAAACATCTTCCTACGTACACGGCGCGACGTGACAAAGCATTTTTATCATCAGAGTTCAAATTACCTGTTGCCAGACTTTTAAGCTTAACAGTCTGGCAACATGTAATTTGAACTCGGATGATAAAAATGCTGTGTCACGACGCGCCGTAATTAACCCGGGTAGGAAGATTTTCGTAGGTTTTTCGTATCACACTTTCGCCGCGCAGACAACAAAAAATTGTCTGGCTCCCTGACCCCATCCGGACTCATTGATCTCCATAGACTTTGTAGGCCTACAATGTTCATCACTGCACTTTGAACTTAACTCATGTTATTGTTAAGACCCCATAATGAACTCGTGTCCCAAAGAGTGACGTATGAGAGTCTGTTTATATGGAGATCAATGTTCGGACCATACATGCCATAGAGCTATATTAAATTACGGACTCAACAATGATGCACTTACCGGTCACATCACACTGGACGGAAACAGTCTAAACAACAAAGTGACTAAAATTGAAACGCATGGTGGCGCTATCACTCGAAACATCGTGATGGGTGGGTGCAACCCTGCAATAAAATTCCCATAGACACTAGTGCTAAATGCGCATACTTCAAAATTCTTCAAAATTTCCTGCAACCGTTGGTGTTTCCACTGTTCAAAGACACTTTTAAAATGAAAGACAAGTTGGACAAGAGAACTGAACATATTTACAGTGTCATTTAGAGTTGTATTGGTCTACAATGAACAGTTTTAGATGCCTTTGACTTTTTCGGTGTTTTTTACCGCATTTTTCAAAAATAAAAAATAACAAAAAAATCCAGGCGGCCTCCAAAAAGGAAGCGGGCGGGGACGAGAAACATGTTTTTTTTTTTTTATAGTTTTCACCTCCTTTGTAGCAGTAAAAAGGGAGAAATTTCAACATGTTAGTGTTTATGCCAATGAAATTACCATATTCATTACTAGCACGTTGTCGTAAAAGTTGGTACCTTGATCCGGTCTTAACTTTTTCTTTAAAATGGTGCTTGCGTTCGCTGCCGAAGTTAATTGAATTAACGTGATGGGGAGTTAAAAATAACCGTCTGATATTTTCTACACAAACCCCGATGTAGGGGGTTTTGCATAGAAATTTTCAGATACCAACTTTTAAGACAATGTGTTAGTAATGGAGTCTTGAAAGACGCTATGGCATCGTTTAATTAAGTTCTATTTTTGCCAAACGGTACGTGGGTGTGATGGGTGTTTGGGTTGTTGGGTGAGCACACGACAGCATTAATTTCTATTTTGTTTGCTTGATTTCTATGATTTTTGTTTATTATTTGAATATTTACTTCCTTTTTGTGGCGTGGGCGTGGTTATCTTGAAAAGCAAATATCTCTAAGGGTGGGGAGGGCATGTTTCATTGTCATTAAAGGTTTTATTTAGCAGGCTCATGTCTTCAATGGATACATCCCCTCCCCATATCCACCCACTCACCGCCCCACCACGAAGTTTCAACAGCAACATCCCCCCTTCAACCATTCCAGTTAGGGTTACGTTTCATTAGAGTTACCCTCCGTTAAGGTTACGATATATAGGGTTACCAACCCGTTAGGGTTACAATCCGTTAGGATTCAGTGCTCTCAGTTAGGTTAATACCCTCCGTTAGTATAGGGTTAAGGTAGGCCTGAGGTATCATGCCAGGGTTATGTTACTGTAGCCAGTTTCGTAGTCTGAATATCATGTACATCAATTACCACATGCACTTTGGATGAGGCTATGCCCTGTGTACACATATGTCTTATTCTGTTTACAACCCAGAAGACTGTCTCCCGAAGCTTGTTCTTGTCTCTCTACCGACTGCTAAGACTAACGTAAACAAAAGAAACCATATTTAAATCCCCCGCCCGCATGAGCATTAGTAACTGGCCAATATTTCTTCAAAGTATTTTTTGTGGGTAATTTTGCTTTTTGGTTTCCACAGACGTTATTGAAGCTTTTGTTATATACCAAACGTGTGTACTCGATAGAAAGACCAATTCTAGAAAAAAAAGTCTGTATCGTATTGAATTGAAATGTCTTTACTGCTTACATTTACTGATTTGACTTAGAATATGTATGATTATGGAGACTCATTATTATGAATAATAATTATGAATAATAATTATTACGCGTTTTACGCGTTCCTGATTTCTTGGTTAGCATCACAAAACGCACCGGCAGATTTAGTAGGGGGGTGGGGGGGGGGGGGAGGTGGCTTTGGCTGCCGAACGCTGAATCCCTCCCCAGAGAACCCTTTAGCAGTTATTTCTACTGACGTGGATACTACAATGTGCTCAACATGCACGCGCGCCGGTGGTTTTGTCGGCCATACCGTGCGTCCGATACTGGCCATGATAGCCCGCTTTGAACAGCGCCCCAATACAAGATAGAAGCGATACAACAGCGCCGAGATATAGAAGAGCGCCGAACTTGATATCATTGGCTGAAGTTGTGGTACTCGTAGCCAAAGGAAATACCCCACTAAATAGGCCAAAAATCCGCCCGCCGAGCTCATGAATAAAAGTTGTACACTCGCATTATTCAACATTAGAGGGTTCTGAAAGCCATGGAATTGGGAAATTGAAGACATATGGCACTATACCTCTGGCCTGGACTTGGGGCTTCCAATTCTGAGTATTCTGGATGCAATTGGGTCCGAAAGAGGCGCTATCCTCCCTGTAGCCTCCCAACAATTTTTTCTAGCCCCCCAACAAACAAAATCCATTAAAAAATGGCAGTAGCCAATTGTAGAAGTTGACGTGCGAATTATCTCCCCCCCCCCCAAAAAAAAAATCGTGAGAGGGGGGCATTGCACATATATGGTATCATAGTGTGCATGATTGTAGGATTTATCAGCGCGCGCTTCCATTGAAAATGTGGTACGAGCCCCCCCCCCCTCCCCCTATTGATTTTCGGAGGCCTAAGTGTCCGGAGAAAAAAAAGGTCTACATTTCACCCCTGCTAGCCCCCCCCCCCCCAATGTAGGCTCTAGAACCGCGCCTGCTTTCAAGCTTTGCACTGATATTCTGAATTAAGTCAAACAAAGAAATTGAATTCAAGCGGGGTTTGAACTTGCTCCTCTGGATGGCAGTGCCTTTGCTCTACCAACTGAGCTATCCAGCCCTATATGTTGGTGGTTCCACAATTTGTCAATGTCTTTTTTGTTCAAGGGGCGCTAGTCAGAAGCCTTACCCGTATATGCCATGTAGCCAGGGATCGCACCTAAAGTCATGATGCTATAGCAACATTAGCAATGCTGCAAACCCAGGAAATAGCAAATGGGGATCACTCAGATAGTCATAAGCCATAGACCTGTATATATGCCATGTAGCCAGGGATCAGGCCCAAAGTCACGATGCTAGCAACATTAGCAATGCTGCAAACCTGGGAAATAGCAAACTGGGATCACTCAGATAGTCATAAGCTATAGACCGGTATATGCCCTGCAGCCAGGGATCAGGCCCAAAGTCACGATGCTAGTGTAAGACCAAAATTTAGACTGACCCTGAGCACACATCCCTGATACCAATCTCACAACAGGTGTTCCACATTACACCCAAGGTCTTCACGTCACTCTTTTCCAAGCAATACACCCACAGCATACCAAGACTGTGATTTAACCCTTGTACAGGGGAAAGTGACCTCATAAGGGTACTCCCCAGACTGACCATTACGTCAGTCCATGGTCAGTCTACCTTTACTCAGAAATGATGTCATATAAGTTATGTTTTCCTTATATGACATCATCTCCTATTTTCACTCCAAGTGGTCCCTCTGAAGCTGTATAAAATGTCCACATATTCCCACTTTCATTGAGTTCTTCTTCTTCTCCCTGGGAAACCAGAGGCATAGCCATAATTAAGCTGATTCAGCCCTATGCTCTGGCCAGTCTTCATCTACAAAACTCTTCAGAACCTCTGTCTTCTGTCTCCAACTTCCGTATTCTAGTACCCAGCCATACCCATAAGCTGATGCAGCCGTATGGTCTGAGGTTATAGTTCTGTACATACACATTACCGGTAGAATATTGAGTTCTTGAAAATAAACCAGTTTTCCATATAGCCGAGCTCATAGTCTTTACCTGTGTGTCTTTGTATAGTCTTCGTAGTCATCTGTTCATCCTGCTCTTAGCCACAGCTACCCTATCCTAACATATAGTATAGTCAAACAAACCAAAGACTATAGCCAAATCTATATGTTACACTAGCAACATTAGCAATGCCGCAAACCTGGGAAATAGCAAACTGGGATCACTCAGATAGTCATAAGCTATAGACCCGTATATGCCGTGTAGCCAGGGATCATGCCAGTCACGATGCTAGCAACATTAGCAATGCTGCAAACCTGGGAAATAGCAAACGGGGAGCACTCCGAGAGGATACGGTTTTTTTATTACAAATTATTAAATAAACCATGCACAAAGGGAAACAGACTAAGTGCATTTCCTTGGCGGTTGATTTTGTACGCACACATATAGGTTACATGAAGTCCTAAATAAAAATATATTTGATTGATGGACATTAAAGTACATGTACTTTGAGTCACTATAGAATATTCATCCCCCTACTTTGAAATGCAGCTCCACTCTAAAAGGGGCAACATGCTAGCCACTTTTCAAAGTGTCTTTGCAGTATTTGGTAAACTTAGTTAACAAATGCAGAATTGTATTTTTACCACCAAAACTGACGATTTGGTGTCTCGTTTGAATCAAGCTGCTCTAATTTACCGCATCTCTTACATATTCAGGCCACGCCCACCAAATGGGTGACATTAACAATGTTTTAGTGTTAGAATGTTTTATCTCAAGTGCTAAAGTTATTTCAAAGCATAAAGAACGCAGGGAAATGAATGCTACAGATACAGCTTGTCTTGGTTGTTATGTTTTCACCCCCTTTTAAAATTAAGCTACGCCCCACAGTGGGTAAATACCAAGGTGGATCCATCTCTTAAAAGTATTTTCAGACCTTTTCAACCAGGTCTGCCAATTGTTCATGGTTATATGACCAAAATGCACGACATTTGTCACAATTTGATCAAACCACTCATATACATGCACCACCCCCTTTACACATATAGGCCTCGCCCACAAAATGAGCGCAGAATAACAGGTGTTAGAATGCCAGAATGTTTTATCTCACGTCTGAGTTTACTTCAAAGCTTGAAAAAAAGCAAGGAAAATACATGTTAATACAGTTGTTCAGATTTATTTATTTGTGCACCCTTTTTTCAACCAAGTTCCGCCCCCAAATGGGCGAGATCCATGGTAGGTAGGTCCACCTCTTAAAATGATTCCTAGCCTATTTGAGCCCTGCATGCCTAATTTCATGCTTTTACCACTAAGTGCACAATTTGTGCAAAACATAATGGGCTTAAGCAGCTCCACTATTAGGATATATATACGTGTACATGTGTATATGAAATACATTGTAGTACATACATATAAAATGTTTTTAAGTAACTTGATCAGACTGTTTTTCGTTATAGTAGCATTTTGGTATCGGGGGAGTCAATCTTAACACTTGAATAAAAAAAACGTCACTTGTGCGCATGATAATTAAACTCGACAATTTTGACATTGACCTACTACCCAGACTAACTGAAGAATGGTCATTCTAGCATTACCCCCGGCAAGCCTTTTGTGCTCAAGTCAAATTGATAATAAAACTCCGCCTAGCTCCTAGACTAATCGAAATACACGTCATTACGCTTCTTGTCACTTCCAGCTCCAAATTCACGGCTCCTAATAACCAGAAATTTGCGACCATCTCATCAATTTTGTTCCTTATTTCGTGTAGTTTGTGGTGTTGCGCAAAATAGCATGCAAAAATAAAGGTAGAGTACATCATTTTGTAATTTGTGCATTAGGTTCGTTTCAAGCAACAAAAGTGATCGAAATCTAAAGAAGGGTGCTTAACAACTAACCTGATGAAGTTTTAGCTCAGTGAATGCTGTTTATTCCGAGAAAACAATATTCTAGGATCTCGATTTCAAATCAAAAGTTGCTGAGTGATGTTTTTAAAGCTATAGTCCATCATTTGCAGCTATCCGAAAAGTAGCTGGCGTAATTATTGTTGAAAAACATACTTGGTTGAAATATAGTAAGGGGACTAAACTCCCTGTGAAATTATTCTTTCTGGCAAGCTGTCATTTTGAAGTAATCAACGAAAGAAGGCCTTTCCAACGGTGCTTCTTAAGACGCACCGTAGGAACATTTAAATTAGTAGTTCGTTTTGTTATTCGGCGAAGCGCGCGCAAGCATTGGCACGACGCACACGCGCGCGCGGCTGCTATTATTCGTCGGATCGCTGCGCAACATCGCGTAGCTGCAATCGGCTCAGCGAGAACGTGTCTCGGACGCTGAACTCAGGCGCAATTCGAAACATGATTCAGCAACTTTTGATTTGAAATTAAGATCCTAGAATGCTGTTTTTCTTGGAATATACAGCTGAAGCTGAGCTGAAACTTCATTAGGTTAGTTGTTTTGTATTTTGAGCACTTTTGTTGCTTCAAACGAACAAAATGCACAAATTACAAATGATGGACTATAGCTTTAATAGACCGCTTGCAGATGTGTTCGATAATCGATGCGCGAAGGCGCGCGACGCCATGTTGTGGGACAGGCGTATATCTATCCATGCACATTTTGTCCCATAACATGGCGTCGTGCACCTTCGCGCGTCAATTATCGAACGCGTCTGCAAGCGGCCTATTGTGCCTGAATTCAGCGTCCGGGACACGTTCTAATTCAGCCGATTATAGCTACGCGCTGTCGCGCACTGATCCGACGAATTATAGCAACCGCGCGCGCGTGTGCGTCGTGTCATCGCTTGCGCGCGCTTCGCCGAATAAAAAAACCCCGAACTACTAACAAAAATTTCCGACGCTTCGAAAAGCCTTCTTTCGGTGATTTCTTCAAAATGACAGCTTGCCAGAAAGAATAATTTGACAGGGAGTCTAGTCACCTTACTATCTTTCAACCAAGTATGCTTTTCAACAATAATTACGTCAGTTACTTTTTGGACAGCTACAGGGCTAATGGATACAAATTCAAACATTCAAATTTGAAACTGTCAGAATATCATGAAATATGCTTGATTGTAAGTTATTAACAGGATCAAGCATCATGTTTAATCATTGCGCCTATATGCTATCATTTTCGAGATCATAGGAATTACCGTCATGTCATGGCATGTTACCGTCGCAATGGCATATATAGGACCAAACCATCGCACTTTTAATGGAAAAATGAAGATTCGTTTTCACAGTTTTCGCAAAAAAGTATGATTTTTTTAAATGCAATTTCGACAGCTCAGTTTTATAATAACCTACTATGGATTTATGGTATTGTCGTTCCTTTAATTGGCAAATAACTTTTGCATACGGTGTCCATATACCTTTAAACACACAAAACTGTGTACAATAGTTCTGGAGGTTCTTTTTGACAAATCCAATAAGAAATTTGCGAAGATGTTACTTAAGTATTCTGACAACAATCCGGATGAACTTATTCAAAGATTGTGTACGATACTGTTATAGCGTTTTCACGGTTCGTAAAGGTAGCGTTTCCCTATTTGTAAAATGTGTAGCAAACTTCTCCTTTGGGTAAAATAATGAAGATTTTGGAGCTAAAATTATTTGAAAAAAAACTGAAACAAATTCTCTCAAATCACTTTTATTTAACTGAACATTTTTAAAGAAATATCGTGAATCAGCATTTCTCAATTGTTGACTTCGCTTGTGCATAAGCTTACATTTATACTTAAACTCGTCAAAATGGCATCTTTCCATAGTACTTCCGGCTTGCTACTGTGACTTGCAAAATTATTACAAATCACTTTTAATTAACTGAATATTTTCCAAGAAATATCATGAATCAGCACATCTGAACTGTAGACTTCGTTCGTGCATCAGCTTACATTTGTACTGAAACTCGTCAAAATGGCACTTTCCATATTACTTCCGGCTTGCTACTGTGACTTGCAAAAAATAATAGCAAATCACTTTTAATTAACCGAACATTTTCTAAGACATGCCGTGAATCAGCATTTCTGAAGTGTTGACTTGGGTCGTGCACCAGCTTATTTTATACTTAAACTCGTAAAAATGACATGGTTTAATAAGTCTCCAAACATGCCCTCCCCTTTAACGGGTTTACGTCCGGTCAGTCAATTAGCAAACGAGATGGAAAGACCTAGGTTTTTTTTAATTAGTGTGTGATCAACTGTAATGGAAATCCGGTCTGATTGAAGGTTGCTTAGGATATCCATTAGAGAGAAGACAGGGTAACTACTCAGAGGTGGATGTACGTCACACGTCGTGCACGGTTTATCATTACTTTGTCAATTCATTAAGCCCGCCATTAATGGACAAACAAAATGCGCTACAGGTAGCATCCAAGGCTTTTTGTCACTATACAAACAGCCTCGCCCGCCCAAATCCTCACTCTGAATAGTGATTGGATATTGCTTTGGCTGCACCAAATAAAAAAAATTGTTTGACAGACATCGCTTGAATAACTCTCAGAAGTTCACGTCGATTTTTGTCAATATCGAAGAAAGGTATCGAACTGGAATCTGTATCTCTGTACCCATGTAGGGCTAGAATTGATATACAAAATATGGCGCGCGAATAAGTGACATTTTACGTTCAAGCGGTAGCTTTTGATTATTTCAAGATATCTCTTATTATTTCAAGATGTAAATTTTAAAAGCCTTTGAGTGATTGATTATTATGAGATATCTTGAAATATAATTCAGGAAATATATTTATGTTTTCAAAATATATCTGAATGATATTAAGATATCTCTGAAATGATTTCAAGATATCTCTAAATTCATTTCAAGATATCTCTCAAATCATTTCAAGATCTCTTAATTTACTTCAAGATATCTTTAAATTTATTTCAAGATACATGTATCTAGCACTCATTTTAATATCTAGAAATCCAATTCAAAGATATCTTGAAATTCATTTCAAGATCTTGAAATGAATTTCAAGATATCATTTCAAGATATCTCTAATTCCTTTTCAAGAATCTCGAACATCGTTTTCGCTTCAGTGTCACATCAATATTTTGTGCGTATACAATATGACACTGGCGGAAGTGGAAACGATTCCAAGATATCTTGAAATCATTTCGAGATATCTTTAAATCGATTTCAAAATATTTCTGAAACATTTCGAGATGCCTTGAAATCGCTTTCAAGATATCTCGAAATCGATTTCGAGATATCTCGAAATCGATTTAGAAATATCTTTAAATACATTTCCAAATATCTTAAAACAAATTTCAGATATCTTGAAAATGATATAGAGATATCTTTAAAATTATTTTAGCGATACAGATCTCTAAATAGATTTAATGACATCGATGATGTGAATGAATGTCACTTATGCGCGCCTTGATAAAAAAAAATCTCAGCGTACCTTAAACAGATTTCAAAGGAATCGTCCACCACTTTTAAACATTTTAAAGTTTATCAAGTTAAGAACGGTTCGGGGATGGTAAAAAAGGAAGAAAATCAAACATCGGTAAAAACGAACGGTAGCCACGCAGTCCAGACACAATATTCAACGATAAAGCAACGTCGAAATGTAATCGGACATAATGCTGAAAAACTAATAGGCAAAGTAAACATAGGTAAAAGCTGAAGCAAACATTGCACTGTTTACTTTACCTACCGCAGAAGCACAAGAAAGCAAAAGTGCAATATGAAAGACAACCTAATGAATATGGTAACGATTATTTGAAGCGCTTTGGCCGTATGCATTAAGCATGCGTAACTATGCCTTGTGTAATCATGACTGACAGAACCTCTATATAAAAGGAGCACCAAATCCACCTCGGCATTAGGTTGCCCGGCATAATAAGCATTATCGCTAAAGGAACATTTCAACCGGTTTTTGTGCTGAAGTATAACACTATCATTACACCATCAATACATAGAGACGACTGAACAACATCAGACCGCAGTAACGAGTAACGCTTTTTTTTCGTTCCGAAGCTAATTTCCCGGACAGCGTTTAGTAGTGTTCTAGCCGGTACGGGCCAAAAGCCGACCAGCGATTATAGACAATGAGGAACACGCGTAAATTCACGGAGCGCTGGATCAAGGTTGCGAATATCAGCAAAGATCAGGAGCGCATCTCGCTGGAGGATAGGGGGTCATCCGCAGGGTCTGTCCGCTCAACGAAGACCATGAAGACAGTGGTGAGTGAAGGCGGCCGAAATGGACGCGACATGGGTAGCAGCATGGGTTGGAACAGCCCTGGGGGATCCTCGGGTATCGCGGTAAGTCTCCTGGCAATTTTCATGGAGTTGATGAACAGTACATATTGCAATGCACTTATACAGGGTGGTTAAAAATAAATAAAAAAATCCACTTTTTAAAGCAATGTTCACTTATTTATAAACTTTGTTTTAAAACTTTTGATCACTGGCATTTCAGCCAAAAGTGATGAAAAAATCATTGCAATTGCATATTTTGTCTCTGAGCTATGGTAGTTTGAACCTTTTTATGTGCGAACCTTGTTTCTTTCCGTGGAGGTATACATTTATCCGCTTGATGCGAAACTTCCTTCAAAAATTTACCTGCAAGTGAGCCCAAAATAACGTTTCAAAATAGTCATAGTAAAATGTAAATTTCGATCTCGATTTCAAACTAAGAAAAAGATTGTTATTAAACATTCGCATATTTCGTCGAAGGGTTGTTAAACATCTAACTAACTGTCTTTTCTCCCAAACGAAAAAAAAAGGCTTTAATTTATAAGCAGACTCCATACGCGTTAATTTGCCCATATTGGTTATTATTGTTAACATGGAGAGCAAAACAAATCAGAAGTATCTCATGATGTATCTCCATTCTACAAACAAATCATCAGTCCTATTAAAATATGTACTGTAAGCAATTCAATCTTGTAAAATTTACTGAATTTATTTTGCAACCATGGGTATAAACATCGCGCCAACGACATCGAGTTCACGAACTGACACCCGGTATTGCGCGCACATCGGACACTCATACGAAATAGAATGATTTTCGTTTTCAAGAACTGACACCCAAGCATGATGGGTACGGAGAAAAACGTTTTGAAAGCTTGACATGAATCTAATGCATCCGTATACTTGTTGGCTTACAAATGTAATTAAATAACGTTTTAACTGATAATCAAGATCAATGTCAGTTCGTGAAAACGAAAATGTACCGAGTGCGCGTTTGAAATGGCGCACTGTGCAGGGTGTCAGTTCATGAAAACGAAAATAACCCAGTTCTGCAAAAAGGTGCTTTAAAGTTCCAATCGATAATCTGATTTTTAACTTTTCTCCATACACATTTAGATTTAGATTATACCTTGAAAGGTGCAAGGCCTGATTTCATCAAATACTGTTCCAATTCCATCCAATATATGAAGAACCATCAATAAAATATTCCTTCTACAAGTTTAACAAGGATTGGTGTTGTCATTTTGAATTTAAAAGCATTTTTTAATGAAATACACATGCCTAGGGAGACCTGTACGTCAAGTTTATAGTTTTGGTATATCATGTTTACCATAACTTACTTACACGTTTTTTTATTTTCAAAATATATCCGCACATAACGTATCTCAACGGTATACAAATCAGGCCATGCACCTTTAAAAATTAAAGTGTCGTCAGTGTTTATGTACCCTTGTAACAATGAGGTGGACAAAATGTTCATGAAATCAGTGATTATATTAAAATCATTGATTCAATTAAAAAATTTCAAAGGCATTTTTCAATGTTAAATTTTTGTCTGGAAATTTTCGAAAACTAAATTGAGTTTTGTGGATGATGGGTATTATGGGAACCTGAAAACTCTTCGTTGGTGGGTGTTAGGGTGTGTTGGAAGATTCATACACATGTTTTGTAGACAATGGATATTTTGAAAGCAAAAAATAATAAATAAATAAATAAATAAAAAAATTAAAAAAGGCAATTCAAATTTATCAAAAACAATACGATTTTTTCCTTTAAATAGTAAAAAAATGCAAAACCTTCTTCTTGAAATAGGCACGCTGTAACTGTGAATACTAATCCTAATTTTGGGTTCACAATTTTAACAGAAAACCCCCGAGCCTTAACAGTGTTTTCCTGAAGTGACATTACAGCAGCAGCGCCCTAATTAGTCAAGGAAACCATGGAACATTTTAAAATGCTTAAAGAAGTGCACTTATCAATACGATTAGCCAAAAAGGATGTCAAAATATTTTCATACATTTAAAAGAAATAGAAAGTTGCACAAAATACGTATGTAAAAATGCAAGTCATGGCCCTTTAAAGTCTCGTATGCTCTTTTTCTTTTAAAGTGCTATACTTATATATAAGTTTTCATAACTTTTATTCTTAAAACCCCTCTCCCCCGCTTTTTGATTTTACGGAGGTATCCGGAAAAAATGCCTACATTTCGGGGCGGTTGCCCCCTACATAAAATCTGTATACGCCACTGCTTAGTCTACCTATTGCGAAATTTGTAATTCACAATGTGAGTAATACACGCGGCTTAGCAACGGAATCCCGTTAAGAGGCCCCAAAATTGTGCATTTATGTTTTCTCTGTTTTCTCAAAGTGCATCCATTAAATTGAAACTTCAATGGTTAATGCACCTTACTTAATATTTTGAGCAAATGTTTTTGCCTAAAAAGGAAAAGAAAATCACAAAGAATCCAATATACCTTTAAGGCTGAAAGGGAGGAATTATAAAAAGTATTGGGTTGTTTATTTTTATATATAGATGCCCCACCAAAGTAAAACCAAGGCAACAAGTGAATTAATTTTGATGAGAAACTGATGGTTTGTCATGTCGTACCCACTCTATAGGAAATGGCCAAGTTTTCTTTGGATGATTTCATCGATGCGGTACGAGAGAACTCGGCTTGCCTCCATGAGACCGATAGCAAGGGAGGCACAGTGCTGCACTACGCGGCTTACACGGGCCGTAAAGATCTGATCGAACACGCCATTAACTGCGGTGGAGGTAATGGCCATATCATTATTCTTGTCTTTTTTTCTTGTCTTGCGTTGTGTTTCATCCTGATTCTTTACAATCTGACAGGCACTTATCTTTTAAAGTTGGTGTAGGCCTATACGTGCTTTTTGGTTGTGGCACCTTGGAAAATAGATTTTAATATTGAATTGAAACTTTTCTAGCATTACATTGAGCTTTCCATTCAGACATCGCACGAAAAAAAAATCGGCTCATGACAAGAATCAATCAATAAATTTCAATATTTTGAAGTTTTCAATTTTTTTTTAATTAAGAGCGGGACTCTCCTAATTGGTTCTGAATAGTGTGCGCAATTTTTGAACTGGAGCGCCGTTTAAAACCAATTTTTAAAACTGTATGAAGGCCTGCAAAAATACACAAGCCAATTTATTTGTTGTAGGACATTATATTCCTTTAAATTTCGTTCTGAAAAGAAAATCATAATTTTTAAAAAGCATGTATATTCCAACTTTAAGTATTAAGTCACTGTCTGTTAAATTACAGCTGAGCTGTCTGTTAAATTACAACCCTCTTAATGTGGTCTCTTAATGTGGTCACCTCTGCTGTTCAGCGAGAGCATTCTGAACCTGTTCCCATGAAAGGATTAATAACTATTCACAGTGTTGTAGTCGAGACCGGATAGACCGAGACCGAGACCAAGACCGAGACCTGAAGTTGCGAGACCGAGACCGAGACCGAGACCGCGGATAATAAATAACAATAATCTAAATAAAAAACCAAGACACTAATTACAGCTGAAAAGTCTGTCTTTGAGATGAATGATGTTGATGGGGATGTGAAGGAAGTGATTCAAAGCTAGGAATCACTTGTACCTGCTTAATTGTGTCATGCGAGTGCTCTTCATGTTTGCTTCATACCATAAATTACAACATGGCAACAGAATTTGTTATTGTTACAATCAATTAAAAAAATGGAAACAACCTAATTTAAAGAAGGGGAAAACCTAATTTGATGAACTCCATATATTGTTGCCACTTTTTTAAAAACATATTTTTTTTAAATATAATATTGTTTAACTACTATAAAGTGTCAATCTGATGAAGAAACTCTAACTTAGGAGTACGACAATTTGTACTAGTTTTTTGCAATGTTGAAACTTGACAAAAGTAAAAAGTTAAAGGTGGATGTTTCATCTGTTATAGGAACTAAACTAAACTGTTACAGGACATTAAACTCCACAGCCACCCCTTGGTTTCAGCAATGACTACTAACGGATATTTAAAAGCAGCTTTACTTTTACATTGGACCTCCTTGTAAACCTGATTCAAAAAAAATTTGGAGCAAGAAAATATTGATTTATTTTTTAAAATTTCAGTCATGGAATATAGACTTGTACATGTAGACCCAAAAATTGAGAGGTGGTAGCCAGAGAGGCCTGGCTTAGGCTGAAATGTAATGCCACTTTATTTTGTTTAATGTCAATAACGTTACATATACTATAGAAGATTGATGAATCATATTTGCCTGATCTATCTTCTGTTAATCTGTCCGCCGTCATCATCGTCATTAGCCTATTTGAGAATGAGGCCGACACAATAGAAGGGCGCTGTCACAAACTGAATGTGATGTGCGAGATGCACTTTTAGGATTCATGGCTGCGTGCGCACGCCTATTTGCGTTTTGTACCAGCGTATCGCCCGCATTGGCTACTATGCTGGGCGATTTACTTGAATATTTTAGTAATTTACAAGTACAACATATTGCCAATATTTCAATCGTTTATTGTGATGGCCGTAAACAGCATTTAGCGATTAATGGAACAAAAGTCTTCTCGACTCATGCAAACGCAATTGACATTTATAAAGGAGACAAGGCAGGCAATTAGACTCTATTTTTGTGTGAATATGGCAGTAGCTCAATTTGTGTTTATCACAGATGAAAATATGAATACATGGCAAGTCAAAAATAAAGTGACAGTATGATAAAAAAAAAGAAATGGCACCATCCATTTTGTAAAAAAAATATATAATTGGGATAAAGAACATGTTATTGAGTAGTAACTCTGAAAATTTCACGTAATTTGCATTCTCTATTCCCAAGTCGTGGCTTTTTAATAAAGAGATCACAAAATTCAGCTGTCCACCACTAGCAATTTAACAGTCTACGAATTGATGAATATCCATTAATAAATATAATGAAAAAAAAAACCCCGTTTTCCCGCCTCCACGAATAAAGTAAAAATTGAAAAGAAAAATAGAAAAAAATCATTAGTATTTCTGGGGAAAAAGAGTTGAATTGTTTCCCATATTAAAAAAAAAAAAAAACTGACAGTACATTGTAAAAACAATGTTTCAATCTTGATTCATAAGATTTTAATCTCAGTTGTATTTGGAATCAATGAGGATGGCTATAAAGTGCTTGTTTCAACAAATCATCCCACAATAAAAACAAGAAATAAGAAGAGGAGCAATGGTTGTTGGACTATGCCTCACTCACCAGAAAGTGAAGAGAGACATGTCTATCAGCATCACACTGCAGTCACATTTGCCCTCAACTGATCTTTACTTAATCCTAAACTGGGGCCGGGGCGGAATCCGCCCCCCTCACTTTTTGGCTGGTCTCGACTCGAGACCAGCCAAAATATCGAGACCAAAGGGGACCGAGACCGAGACCAAGACCGAGACCACAGCTCCCGAGACCGAGACCGAGACCGAGACCAGCAAACAGTGGTCTCGAGACCGAGACCGAGACCGAGACCGGTCTCGAGACCTACAACTCTGTCTATTCAAGTACATAATTGATAATCGGAGATTATGTGTGCAAGCTTTCGAGAGTCGGTTTACAACGTATCACTCCGGATATAATTCATCGCACACTATACAGCAGCGTTGTCAATCGTGTTTGATGTAGTTGGTTGTTTCCCCTATCAACCAGGTCGTGGGCGAACCATTAAAGTTATGTAAATAAAGTTGTATGGAAACGCAATTATGAAAATGCTTTCATGCAAATTTCGCCCTTCACTGACGGTATTGATTGCATGCTTGGACTGGACAAAAACTGAAGATTATTTTTTTTCTTGCATGCCTGGTAAAGTTGGATTTTTGGATTTAATTATCCGAAATCTCAAACCGTCCGCAAACTTACGAAGAGTCAGGAATCACATGCTCGGCGAATTGTAATTCTGTTTATAACACCTCACCCACGGATTCTGCATCTTGATTGGCTGAGAGTGAGTCACATGGTATTTGCTATTTTTGCTATCTTGCTGTGCACGGCCAAAAAGACTATACACATAGCAACCAACGTATAAGCATAGCAACCGGTATTGTGTGCAAACGCACACGGCTGTATGCGCGTATTGGTCCCAAGCGCTAGCGCAACAGAGCTGGGTTCGAACATTTTGTGAAGGGGTGGTTTGGAAAAGTTCAAGTAAATTTTCATCTAATTTCGTATTGAACTAAATTGTACATGTATTTTGAAGCAGAATCTGTGGGTTAGGTGAAAAAAAACCCAACTTATTGACCGCTTTAACTCGACAGTCGCAGAATAGTATAAAACTGGCCTCCCTCTGTGATCCATGGAGCATTCTATTTTCAGAAACAGAATGCTTCATGGATCACCTTGGGAGGCTAGTTTCACTACACCACTCGAAGCAGTCAGCATTTGAATAATATACGCATATATTAATGCTGGTATATACGTGCTTTTTTCAAAATTTCGATTGTCTTTTCCGAACGAATTTTAAGGGAATCTAATGTCCTGTACAAATAAATTTGCTTGTTTGTATTTGCAGCCCTTCATACTGTTTTAAAAAGTGGTTTTAAATGGCGCGCTCCAGTTCAAAAAGTTTTGAGCGAAATGCTATAAATATTGATATCTGTTGACGAATCAGCTCATGTATTAACACGCGTTTGATTCATCTGGTCCGATCCTAGCTACGCGATGATCGCGGCCGGTTCGCGACACATGCTTCGCAATCAAAGATTCAAAGATTCAATTCAGTTATTGAAGTGGTAAATACGATATTATTACCGAAAAGATCATATTAATGAAGTCTGCTTTTCCTTTCCTTTGTTATTACAAATCAACATTTGTTTTTGTTGTTATTCACTTTATGATCAGTTGATTGTTGATTGATCACTCATGATCTAGAAAATCCCAAAGAGTGAAACTATAGGGACTAAACCATTTAGAGCTAAAATCACCCCCTTATTTTCGATTGACATACTCTGAAAAAAAGAACCACTTCAGATCAAGCTTGAGTGAAAACTCGATCTTTTCGATTGAATGAATTTCACTCTAAAACGTCTAGTCCCTAATGTCAGTCTGTGAGAGTGAATTTTCGCTCGAATGGAGTGGATTTTCACGCCATGGAATTTCAATTGATCGGAAGTTGACACCTCATCTCACCCCAGAATCAGCTCAACCTGCCAATCAAAAGGGTATAGATTTTGTTCAGAAACCAGAGGTTCTCAATATCCGTGAATGAATAGGTACCCTTAAGTTATTAATTGAAAGCTAATGATCCGACCTGTCTGATGCACCTGTATCAAATGTTGCTATGACAACCCGTTATTTTCGGATAACCCTAGTCGCAGGTCACCAATGTCATCGACTGACTGACTGATTCACCGACTGTCACTTGATAGCCGGCAGTGTTGTAGTCGTGTCACCAACGTCGAGTCGAGTCCGAGTCCCGAGTCACAAGCCTCGAGTCCGAGTCCGAGTCACTTGTCATTTATAAGTTGTTCACCAAACCGATCACTGGACCCTGGTGTTCGTCGTGCAGGCGCGCGCTAGGCGTGTGTGCGCGGCCCCGATTTTCCGTGGCGCCGTGTTTTGTCTATGGAGTAAAAAAAAGATGCTACGTTCGTCGGACAAAATGCGTAACGATATGTTTTTTCTTTTGGTGAAAATACGTGATTTGAGTCACGAGTATAAAAAGCTCGAGTCCGAGTCATCATGGTCGAGTCCGAGTCCGAGTCATTTTCCAATGTGACTCGAGTCGAATCCGAGTCACGAAGAATGTGACTCGAGTCCGACTCGAGTCCGAGTTCTGGACTCGAGTCCTACAATGCTGGCAGCCGGGCAGTGCTATCGCATAGGATTACCCCGTACCGTCCGAACCATTGTGTAGACCAGATACATGAAAAGGCTTCAATTGAATCATAGCTATTTTGAATCAATTGATAAGAATTGTGCATGCTTTGTGACCAGCGTTATAGGCTTGCCTGCTCATGCTCTAGCCTGTATAACGATGTTCGGTGTTCTTCGTTCTTCATTTGCTACTTTGAGACCGTTACAATCGATAATGTACTAACCAACGGATAACGAATCACCAACCGATAATGTAACAACACTTTGTCACCATTTTCAGGAAGAGCCACATTTTAAAGAAAAGGCGTTTTTGAGATAATCGCAAAAGAAGTTTCTCCTATTTTAAAACTGCAAAAAATACTACTTTGCAACAACTTTGTGCAGTAAGGAAACCTTCACATGATTATATGAGAGCTGAATTTTTACGTGAACCCAGTAATTAGAGTTAATACAGAAGCTTATTAGTTAAAATTAATTAGTAAATATATGTTTCTGTTCGTGAAAACGAAAATTCAAGTTTCCTTCATTTTGGCCCTTTCTGTTCAACGTTTTTCCATAGGCGCTCGTGCGTACGCGCGCGCAGCTAAGAATGTAACAGATATGCTCTTCGTGAAAACGACAATTTCAGCTGACCTACTTTTTCGCCTTTCCCTGCAATAGGTTTTGCATGCGTTTAAGGGGTCAACATGTATGTGGCTCTTCGTGAAAACGCAAAATGCAATTATCGAGATTTCTGCCCCTTGCATCATTCATGTAAGTTGGAAATTAATGATGTTTTGCTTACAGAAACATGTAAAAATGGTTAAGTACAATGTTTTAAAGCAAAATGATAAAAATCGAAATCGAAAAAAATGGTAATTTTGGACATTATGTGGCTCTTCGTGAAAACGGTGACGAATAATTGACCGATACTGTTTCACTAGCCGATAATGTAACAGAAATTAACCGATAGTAGTGCAGTACACGTTACTACACAATCAGTCAACTTTTGTTGCATAATCGGTTAGGACTGATAATGTAAAACCTATTGACTGATTGTGTAGTACATTCTACATGTACTACATGTGATAAAGTATCGGTCAATTTTGTTACATTATCGGTTGGTGATACTTTATCCTTTGGTTATCAGTTGTAACGAGGGCATCCCTGATTTTATTATTTGGTTCCGATTACCGACCGAACCTATTTTGTTCTCCCGATCCAAGACTGAATTTCTTTTTTTTAATTACCGTCGAGGCGTCGACCCTGTCTGGGAACCCACATTAACTTAAATTAATGACAAAAAAAAGGAGTATCAAATTCAGGTAAACAGACCAGAAAATAATATCTGATTTCACTTTGAGCACGGAAATTAGCAACCCTTAAGCCATCACAGAAGTGCATGTTGTCAGTCATCATAATTTACCTAAACGCTACGTTATGGCTGCCACTACAACCTAAACGTTATTGAGCTGAACGATAATATAAGTCAACTACATCTTGCTACAGATATACAGGGTGAGTAAAAAAAGCGGAACCCAAACCCCCCCAAATGTATTTCATATTTAAAAAAATATGTATCACCAAAAATAATAATGACTGGAAAGCCAATTTCAGAAACTACTTTTAGATGAGCAAATTACTGAAATTGCTCAATCCGTTCAAAGAGTGTCACAAATTAAAACGTAATGACTCTAAAACCTGTGCGTTCTGACCGTTTGGAACATCAAGGAAAATTACACAGATTACTTGTTAAAACAACTGTAGTACACGATATCTTTATTAACAACCCTGCTTGGGCCAACAACATGATTTATAAAATCGGTGATATCAACCTATAATCATCTCCCAGCAATAAGCAGAACAAGAGACAATATGCATTTGGCATCATTTAATTTAGCCATCTATTTTTTTATCTTAAGATTTTGTTAATTTTTTCCCGACCGACTGACTCTACTCAGAGGCTACAAAAATATGAGAACCGACGAAACACAAAGGGACGCCCTAAGCTAACAACAAGTGTACCAAGTATGGGAATATAAATCAATTAATTATTGATGAATGAGGATAATATGGTAACATGAGTTACCTTGAAAATGTCATTGGCATAACACAGTACGTCAGTAACAAGACACCATTACTAGGGCTTTCTATAACAAGCTGTTGCCAATAAATTGTCAATTAAAAACGACTTAGCTTCAAGTCATTTTGAAGTCAATTAAGGGGTCAAAAAAAAAATTGCGGTGTCATGTCAAAGAGCATAGAGAGACCTGATCTTGAAGCAATAACAAAAATCGAAGTAGGGTTCGTGTGGTCGTTAATCATTATTGATTTATTTATAATGGAAATAGCAATTAGTTGCACGATGAATGAGGAATAATACTTTAAAGCACGCGAGGATTTCAATTACGGCGGCCGTGGTAATTTGAAGAAGGGTTCTTAAGAAAACACGGCAAGAAATGGCATACAATCCGCGGCACACATTTTCTCAGGTTTACACAATTTCTACGCAATTTTTTTCAGGCTTACACACGACCCTGGATCTATGTTAACTTCACATAAAAAAGCTTTAAATTCTGCATGAATGATTTTTAAAAGATTCCTACAAATCCGGCAGATTTTTTTTTAAGTTTTCGAAAATGAGGTTGAAGTTATGATCGTATATCATTCACTCTTCCGGGTCTTCCCCAAAAATGTCCAGCTCAATATTTGGTATCGAGCCATAGAAAGACTCATCGATTTTCTCGGAAAAGAATACCTGGTGAAATCGTTACTTAAAAGACTTGTTTCTCAAAAATGGCCCCTGACTAGTGGAATGCGGTGGCCTATAGTGGTCTGGAGCATTGAATTTGGGGTCTGCAGGTAATTCTGCAGGTTGTTGGTTCGAGTCCTGCCCGGGGTTATGGTGCGTGTGCCCTTGGGCAAGGTGCTTTGTCGCTCATTGCTTCTCTCCACTCATGATTAGTTGGGTGCCTATGAGGGCAGAGTTAGTCCGAAGGTTCAATAGTCCGCAGGTTCGATAAATATCTATCATTAATGAACTGCACAATTATGTTACCTTTTTATATTATTTATTTTCTTACTAGACGTGAATGCTCGAGACATTATGGGGGATACTCCACTACATTATGCTGTGAGAGGCAATTCCCAAGATACAGCCAACAGTCTCATATATGCTGGGGCAGACCTGACTGTGCTCAACGACGCTAAAATGGCTCCACTTCACCTGGTCTGTGACCTGGATATGCCGGATATGATTGAGGTTGGTCTACATGTAGATTATACTACATATACAAGCAACGTGAGGATCACAAAGTAAAAGTGATCTTTGGTGAATTTATATAGTCACGTACCAGCGCTAAAATTGTTGATTTGCCATATATACAATCTTCAACCATGCACTCAAGGGCGATTTCTTTCGCCATTACATAAGCAAATAAACGTGCTGTTTAGAAGCTATCTTTGAAAATCATCATAACAAGGATGACAGGCAATGTATACATGCAGGCGTGGATCGGGGGGGGGGGGACGTACCCCCGGTAAATGTAGTCAAAACCGGAAAGAAAGAGACAGGGGGTGGGGGAGGGTATTCTTCTTAAGCTCGAAATGATCTCGGAAGCTGCGGCCCAACTGTAGACCTTCTGTAGCCTATAAGTCATGTACATGATGTAACAGTCTGTTGTTATAATGCACAACTACGCGCTGGTCGTGACTGTCATTTGAAAAAGATTCCCATTATTTTGTTGAACGTCAATTGGTGCATGGAGCGTTTATAGCATGTGGAACCCCAATTTATGTGCAGTACAGTGCTAGCCCCAATTCGAAATGAGTGACCTCGTGACCGCGTAAACAAAATTTCCAAGACTGCAATAAATTAATAGCTGGTGGAGACCTGAATTTGAAGCACTCGTTGCTGCGAGGGCCTAAGGGACAAGGTGATTGATTCCCGAAAAGGGCATGTGCTGACATTTGTTACAAACCAACCAACCAACGGAGAGACATGAGTCAATCTAGAGCTGCTCAGCCGCAGCTAAAAATGAACAGTGTGGCGCCAATTTTAACTTTTAAAATGGAACGGAAAACATTGAATACAAATATTGTTTTAAGTTTTGTGTATTTCCTATCTCGATTTAATATGGCATTACAATGACCTATAGGCTTAGTGAACGGTCGATCAAAGTACAGGCATATGAATCCAGCTGAAGGCGGGCTGGTTTAATATCACTGTCTCAAAAAATAAAAGTTTTTGGAACAAATTTAATTTTCCTGTTGCACAGAAATAGTAAGTAAAAGTAATAGCAAAGTCTGTCACGAGCCAATGTGGCCCATCAGGCTATCTCCGGTCTCAGTAGCATGAAACGACTGAGAATATTTCTACTCCCCCTGGATGGGATGCCAGTCCATCGCAGGTTACTCCCCAGCTAATGCTAGTACCCATTTATACTCCTGGGTGGAGAGAGGCATGTGGGGTGAAATGGCTTGCCCAAGGACACAACATATGACCAGCAGCTGGATTCGAACTCCTGACCCTCTGATCACGAGTCACGAACCCTAACCACTAGGCCACACTCTCCCACAGAAATAGTAATTTGTCATTTAAATGTTTTTTTTTTTTAAATGACATTAAATCTGTTGTTGGATTTGTGTTTCATCATACAGTAAAATAATATTCTGTTTTATTTTTGAGGTAAGCGTGTTGTTAGAATATGATCTTTTTCTTTTTCGTTCATGATACCTTGTATCTAGTATCGTTATTGGACATGGCAGATTGGTTATAAAAATTAAACACTGATTCATCGTATTAGAACCTGGGGTCATGTGTGTTTATCTGATTAATTGTACCACCAACTTCTAATACTCGGGTCCATTGACATTTTCAAGTGTTTCGAAATGAGGTGGTCATGTTTGCATTGTAATATATTGCTACTGCGCTGACGTATGGTTCTCAATACCAGCAAAAAAAATGTCATTTCGCAAAGTCATCATCAATAATTATTTTTTCTGTATTTGTTTACGTACAAAATGACGAAACCACTTTTAAAATGTGTCGTACCGTGAGGAAATTACAATCGTCGAAAGGCCCGATGACTTATTTTGTTAGTATTAGAGACCAGTCGCATACAGTCAGGTACAAAAACTACGATGATTGGGGTCTACCCGATGTTCCTCAATACCTATGTTCCCCCAAATCCTTAGGGTTAGGGTTAGGGCTTGGGTTAGGGTTGGGGAACGTAGGTATTGGGGAACATACGTATGTACCCCGATGATTGTATATGTATTATGCAATTTGTCTTGCCGCGCCGCCGATCTGCCGATGGTTTTATTACAAATATACATGTAACTCTGAACTAGCCTATAGTAACTAGTTGTATAGGACGACTACGCCCTATTCTTGAAATTGAAACTAGACTGAATTAAAACCAAGAACGTTTCTGTGAAAGTTAGGGAAAAGAACCTGCAAATTACATTATGCAAAAAAGTAGGGAGAAAGTTAGAAGACCGCATTATTACATTTCTGTAGTCTTGAGATAAAACATAGCCGTGAAGTTACAATGTACATGGAGGCCTAATTGCTCCTCTGTTTTTGATAGTTTGATTAAATTACACTAATTTTAATCCTAAATTTATACGTGTATAGTCAAATGAATGTTCAAGCGGTTTTTGTCTGCTCGCACTTAAAAAGGGAATGTACAACATTTGCTTTTGCTGTAATTTTTAGAAATGGATGGATTTGAGGGTTTAGTATTTTATAGCGAATATTGTTACACTGACTTATTTGAAGTTTTCTGTGTTCGAAGAAGCTGGAAAACAAAGAAAAACAATCATGTTTCTGTATCTGGTTTCCTGACCCCACTTAAGATGAACCGGATCAATTTGAAGAGGTCGGGAAATTGTAAGGTCAGGGAATCCGTCTAGCTGGCTTATACCCGTTCATAGGTGTGTAATCGATTGCGAACAAAATGTTGACTAACTAAATATGGTAAATATGGGGCAGTATTTGGAAAAAAAACCCAGTTTTTTCCAACAATGGTCGGCCAGCGTTGGAAATTGTTTTAAAAAAATGCCATCATTCTTGAAAATGACAGCACACCAGGTGCCATGATTTTACAGGATGCTTTAGACTGTCATTCACTAACAGTTCAGTAAGGTATTTCATAATAATTTGGTAGTTTTGTTTTTTGATGTTTTCCAAATGTTGTGATACTAACTAAAAAATTGTGGCCAGGAATCGGCTCAGATTGCACCACAGAGGATGTAGAATCTAAAATGTTGTGTTGTGTAATGACAGCCACCCAGAGTTCCTCAACCACATGTTCGGCAAAAACTGCAGCTGTGATGTAGTAAAAGAAAGGTCTATGTATATAAACACTGTCCCAAAGATAGTTGATACAGTTAGACTGGATCGTCCTAACCGTATTCAACAAAACGTACTGCTTTAGACTTACCCCTTGCAAATATTGTCCGTGTTTTCTGTACAGGCCTTGTGTCAACACGATGGTGTGGATGTCAACATACCAGGGGAATACGGGCAAACACCACTGCATTACTGCGCTATCAAAAACACTTTCGAAACAGCCAAGAAACTGGTAAGTTTTCAAAAGTTATCTGAAAATGTTGCAACCTTCCCCCTGCTCAGCCGCTGACTAATGTTACGAAACTAGTCAACCCGGTCCCAAAATAATGACTATGCTAAAGTTCCTAACTTTATTCTCAAATTGCCTTATACAGTGTGTATCAAAAAATGCAAACAAATACAACGGAATGCCAGACGTAGAATGAGTAACCAACATAAAAAAAATATAGATATGGCTTAATAGATACGCCTTTCCACTTGAGACATCAAATTTCCAAATCTGATAATTTTTGACAGAGTTATGATCAATTTTCCAAGAGAGGTATAAAACTTGACCATGGGACCAAGTTTTCAATTTTAGGCATTGGGACGAAGGTAGCCTGATAGCCTCTGTGTGGATAATTGCCTGGCCTATAAAAAAAATGTGTTTAGCAAGTAAACACAATTCTAAACACTTTTTGTTATCAGTTTGTAAACATGTTTACGTGCTAAACTCATACTACTTTCATACATACTACTCAATTCCTTTTGTAAAGTAATTTTGAATTATGTGCATATTTTATGAGACAAACAATGCTTGTAATAATTGGTTTGTTTTATGGGCAGATGTTTTACAAACCACGTTATTGTCATCGTGACGATAACGGCGTGTATGTTATCCACTGTGCTGCAACTCATGCATCGAGGGATGTGTTGAATATGCTCCTGGAAAAAGGTACGGTCATTTAGGTATATTGCTGACTGCACAGTATAGATTGGAACAACATTATCAGCGACAACCTGATTGCTTCTTTTGTATACCCTCAAAATAATTGAAGGGTTGCGATCTATATTTTGGAGAATTTGTATCCATAATTTCTAGGTTTCTAAAGATGAAGTGACGTAAGCACGTCTATGTAACGGCAACACATTGGTTGCATTATTTATACCAGATGATGCATTGTACAAAAAAGATATTAACCCTAAAATGTATGAGAGAGACTTGAGTCCCAAAGGCTTCACTCTGTCATGAGAAAATTGTTTTAGGACATTTGCTCGTCTCTAAATGAACTCGGTCAAATCTACATGCTTCTTACGGTGACTCCGATCCACCATACAGGTGAACAGTATACAAATATAACATGGTTTGAGGGTGGACAGTCGATATTGGCTCCCCGAGGTATTGGAAGTTGACAAACTAGTTCCCGAGGCGAAGCCGAGGGAACTAGTTTGTCAACTTCCAATACCGAGGGGAGCTAATATCGACTGTCCACCCGAAATAAACCATGTTATATTTGTTTTACTATACCTCATACATATTCAGTTGCCGAATTTTGTTTTATTATTATGCAACTAAAACAAAATTTGGGGAAACTTGTACAGCTCACCAAAAGATTCAACTTCAACTACTAGTTCGGTTGTTTGCAATATAATACAGGTACTACAGTTGTAAATACAGTTGTTTGCAATGTGTAGAACTTTCTTTTGGACAGGAGACATCTTTACACGGTCTATACATTTTCTCCAGTACGGCATCATTGAGCTCTGTAAATTAACATTTACGCGAACCGTGCAACCATGCATCTCTCCTGTGCGATGTTCGCGCGTGCGTACTGCACCCGTGCGACAGTTCCTCGATTGCTCTGTAAAGCGCATGCGTAGTAGACTGTCGCACGGGTAACCCATGCGACAGTCTTCTACGCATGCGTATTTACAATGTGCGTGAATCCTCGCGCGCGTGTTTGGTAAACAGGAAGAATAACATCTGGCACGTGATGGTGAATTGACCAGTGAACGTTCGGCTCTCGATCATGAATATGAATGAGGTATAGTAATACTTTATGATAAAGTAATGATATACGTGCAGCGAAACTGCATCAGATAAATAAATACCTAAACAAATAATTATCTTATACCAATATATCACATTCATGAAGAATTTTATTTCATATTTAGGAATACTGTAATGTCACGGTTACGCGCCATAGGGTGGTGTGACCCTAGGGTGGTGAGTCCGCTTAATAATTAAGTAAGGATCGACCTATTTGGCAATTAAACGAAGGGGACGTTTGCAAACGAGCAAGAATCAACCTTAATATTTACCGTCAATATGGATTTCAATGATTTATTGTTAATTATAAATTTAAATGGGTTGATATACAGAAAAAATGAAGTATTGCTCATGAGTCAGCTACTATACAGGGTGGATAAAAAAACAACTGAAACCGAGATATTATTGCTAATTGGAACAGAAGTAGGGCATGTGTGAATCAAAGGGAGATATCCTCTGTTAGGGTTGAATCTCCTCTTTAAAATGAGACCCTGATCATGTCCTTATATTCACGGTCGACTGAGCAGAGACCAATTTTATGAAAGGGTCTATTGAGTGACTTGCGCCACTTTTCATGGTGATATCTCTTTTTTCCCCACCTGCCTTGGTTGGCAACCATAGTCTTTCACTCTGTGACAAATGACACCACAAAAACCACAATTGAAAAGTGGCGCAAGCCTGTAAATAGACGCTTTCATAAAATTGGTCACTGCTCAGTCAACCGTGAATGTAATGACATGATCAGAGTGTCATTTTAAAGAGGAGATTCAACCCTAACAGAGGATATCTCCCTTTGATTCACAGGTGCCCTACTTCTGTTCCAATTGGCAATAATATCTCGGTTCCGGTTTATTTTTATCCACCCTGTAAACCAAAGGTTTGTACAATTATAAATAGCCTATGACTCAAATGTATGATTTGCAATCCAGACAAATATCGGACAACTGGGTCCAAGACTCGGCTAGTAATAGTGGGTTGTCGCGCGACATAATGGCTAATAATATCTAATAGGACAAGGAACCGACACAACGAAAATGAATTAGATAATGAACCAGTGGCAATGGGGCACCAACGGCAGATAAAGATATGCAACGGTAATATGCTATAATAACGGACCCAAGTAATAATGCGCTGTTGTAATAGGCTAAAAGAATGGGCTATATGAATAATCAGCTATAGTAATGAACTATAGTAGTGGCAATGGGCCATAATTATTACTGGGCACTGCGCTATCCCGCTTGCTCCACATGACAGAACTAACCTGTGTAAGAAATACACGATCGTCGCAACAATAAATGAAACAGCCGTCGAGGCAATACAATACATGAAACAGTGAGCGGGAAAACGTGAATCTCCCGTGATGGAACTTTTCACACATAGTTTCTCGACAGTGCAGCAAGCAAAACTTGCCCAAAATGACAGCTTCTGACTGAAGTTGAGGTCCAAACCTGGTCAATATGCTCTACGAACCTTCAACACCATTGGGACAAAATGGTGTACTTCGGTGGCGAGGATGTGCAAAATACTGAGGATTTCAGGAGAAGAATGACATTTACGTCTGAGCGAAATTAACTCCTGCCGAGAGATTAACTGCTGCGAGAGAGGCGGTTTTTCACGTACGCCACGCACGCCGAATTACATCGCGTAAGCTTACAGTACTGAGCCTACGTTCAGCATATTACAACAATCTACAAACGTTGTCTCATGACATAAATAGTTAGACATAGTGGGCAAGATTACTATTAATCACCAGGATGTATTTCATGATTTGTATGAAGGAAAGTGTTTACATCTCGGAACTATATTTTATGTGAGCAAGGGTTGTGCAAGTACAGTCAGCCTGATATGGTTAAAACAAACATAAGACTAGTTTAGGCTTACTTCAAGTCGGATCGCCACAATGCAAGGTTTCTACTGAATGTGTTCACGGTTGAATGGATCACATCAATAGATCTAAATTAAGCTATTGTGTTTCCGTTATTGCCCATCTTCATTTGTGTACTAATTTTACTTCAATGGAATGGAAATGTTTGCGGAATCTTCGTATCACCTTTGGGCTATCGTTTTGCATGTGTCTAGTAATGTTGGTCCTGGCTCAATGCCAACCCCACAAAGGTCAAGTATGTATTGTTTCACCGTTTCCGCTGGCCAATTTGCAACTCGCATGGATCATGTTGGTAGCAAATTGGATGCGGATATGCCTACAATAAACAAAAAAGTGGTAGACAAAATGTTGCTTTTTGAAAGGGTAAATGCCATATAAAAGCATCCTGACATTGTCTCGTGATGGCACTTTCCAATGTTCCAGCTCTTTAATTACAGCCATGGTAATACTCCATGGTAACAGATAATGAAAAAATTGTCCATTACGCACTCTAAGTCTTTCCTTTCTATGCAGTTAGGTCGTTATGCTATATACATTTTAGGCTAAGTGCAGGATTTAATGCAGTTGAGTAAATGCACTTCCGTTCGTCAAACCAGATTTCGTTGACCCATTAGGCTTATTAGTGAAAGAGATCAGGGTTTTTTTTGAAAACGTGCCGTGGGCCTGTGCTCGCCATGTTGATGGTTTGGTCGGTGGATGGGTAGGTAGGTGTATTTGAGCAATTAAAATCACTAAACGTTTTGAAGGGGTTACAATATGAACATCTGTTTCTTACGAAGATGTGCGGCATATCTCAGAATAGCTAAAACAAACCACAACTTCAAGCGCGAATTATATACGACATGCATGACTTTCTCTTCGTGAAAACGAGGACAATTTTGTCATCGTTCCGGAAACGAGTCTTCTTCATTACTGTACTAAAAGGGAAAAAGTGACTGGCCCTTGAAGTGAAAACAGTTAGATTATCCATAATTTTTTATAACGAAACAAGATTGTTACGTCAGATTCCATCTTTGTATTTTTTAGTAGCACACTAAAAATCAAATCACGCAACCCAATGTTTATGTCGAGTTGTACATACAAAGGACGAGTTGGCAAACGGACGAGATGACTCGAAAGTGAAGTCGAGTTGGTCAACAGACGAGTTGGTTCAGCGGTCGGGTTGGTATACGACGGTCGAGTTGGTAAACGGTCGAGTTGGTTCGAGTCGAGTTGGCAAACGGTCGAGTTGGCAAATGGTCGAGTTGACTGTAGGGGGAGACCGGGGATGGAAGTTACACGGGTAAGTTGTTACAGTTCTCAGTGTGCAAAGCAGGAACAAGAGAGGGCGGGCTAACTACCATCCATATGTTGCCTACAGGTAGCTAGGGTATACTGCTGATCGTGAGCTTTCTCCAATCTTCTACTCAAAAAGTAAGTAAAAAAACCCTTTTTTGTCCTTTCCTAGTAACTTTCTGACAAAACTTGAATTTCGTAATAGCTCTAACAACTGGAGGTGCATAACGCTAACTTGATATTGTAAATATAGTAAATTTAGGTCACTAATATATCCCCAGGTCATGACCGGTAATTCTGCCTGAAGGTTGAGTTACAGTACATTTTATGTGTAAAATACCCTATGGGGTAGGTTGTTACACTGTAACAACCTACCCCGTGTCAATGTAACAACTTACCCCAATTACATTTTACGTATGTTGAACTATATTTTGTGTATATTTTCAGCTGTAAATATTTCATTTGTCTGTTTTGCTTTACCTACAGATTGAGCTACTGTATTAATGATGCCAAGAACCTACAAAAGGAAGACAGGTGTCTGGTATGTGATGACTTGTTTTCCAACTCTGCATCTGGAGAGCAATGGGTCCAGTGCATGGACTGCTCAGGATGGTCCCATACAGAATGTACAAATGGAAGGAAAAGCTACCTGTGTGATGATTGCGAAATGATGGACACAGACAGTGACTAACTTGTTGAAAGTGATCCTTATCGATCACAAAGAGGCATTTTAGCTATATTTCAG